CGTACGTTTCGCCTTGCTCGGACTTTTCAGCGATGAAATCTACTTGTTCGAATTTCTCGATGAGTTTCGTCTCGGAGTAGCGTCGAGCAGCGAATGAAAAACTAGTTTCTCGTACTTGTAGAATTTCTTTTCGATCAGGTTTAGTCGAGATCATCGTATACCCGGATACCTCGGTCGAAGATCCCAACCGATCGCGAAGGTGGTCCGTTGTTAGCGGAAACCTTTATATTTTCAAACGAGCAAATAAACTCGAGGGCAAAGCGTCGATGCAGTTATCATCGGTACACGGAGTGGTCTGTATCGAGTATGTCCCGATGGTGTATTATTTTTTATGTGGGCGGGCGCAGAATGCACGGCTCGATGGAACGGCACATTCGATAATACATCATTCGGTTGACCCAGTTCCGAGGTATCGAGTCTCGAAGTGGCGGAGTGTTAGCGGTTAGCGGTTTGCGCGGTAAACGGGGGTAAATACTGGAGCGAACAGTCCGAACGCGAAGGCATCGATGGACGTCGGAAACGAGATTAACAACGAACTAGCCGGGAAGTGAATTTTTCATAGACTTGGCCACGTTCCATCTGCCTAAAATCTAATTCGCTCAGATTCGTCGCATAGGTGCGACGCAGCCGATCGTTCGAATGAAATTTTGTCCATTTCTGGTGCTATAGTTTTAATGCACGAAAGAAAAAAAAGTGAAACCCGATGAATCTGAAAGGATCGTGGAACGATGTCTCGTTAACCAGCGATTCTTTTGTAAGCGGTACAATCGGCAGTTTTGCGGTCGCGAGCAGTAGCTAAATGTTTGCTTTTTATTCGGTACGAGCACAGCCGGGTGAACTCGTCGGAATTCCCCTCCGGCGAAACTCGAAAAGTTCGCAGCAAATGCGAGGGGCCCTCCACCTTGGCAAGTTCGTCGAGTTCTCTTGGAATTTCCGACTTCGAATGCAAGGAACTTCCATCCTTCGAGATCGTCCGATGCTTGATGCAACAATCTCCTTAATAAATAAGTCGATGCATGGGTTACGTTGAAGCGTTTGCCGGTGACTGCCATCTCGGGGAAGCGCACGGAACGGCGCACTCGAGATTGCGCTTTTCGTTAACTTTAATCGACAATTTGTTTCGTTACGCGGGACCTTCTATACGAACCGTAACACAACTGTAATAACTCTACGTTCGGCTATTCGCGATCCTTTCGCAATTTGCGCGCGTGTACTCTTTAAGTTTAATTCTTTGGTCGTTCTCGCTAGCTAATTCTCGATGGCTAATTGTGTTCTTCGTCGTTGACGCAAACCTACCGGATGTCATAGATCGTCTATCTGGTTCGGTTAGACGTAACCTGTACTTTTTTTCGACCCACCGTACATCGAGGTTGACTCGGAAACCTAATTTCTCGAGTCGGATTGCCCGGGCTAATACGAACGTTTCATCGAATATCGATCGAAAGCAGACGAGACGAAATTCGACGGCCTATGAAACAAAGAAAAGGGAAGATTTCGAGAGGCAGACGACTTCTCGTAGAAAGAGCGAGAAGGAGATATAATCGAAGGGTAAAGTGGTCCAACCAGATATTTTCTGGCGAAACAGGTGCACCAGAGTCTGCCATTCGTCGAGGCGTGTGCCGGCTAACCGCGCACCTTAATAACACACACGCTCGATCCTTTACAAGCAGCACGCATGCACACATTTACATAAACACAATCCGAACGGCACGTATACCGATCGTCGATCGATACATAGTTGCTCTTATGCCAGGCTGATCGAACGTCCGTCGAATTTGCCGGCTTTGTTTGGCTCCGCACCAATCTCGGAAATCAATTCGACCACTGCAAATCGAATTAATCTCTTACCGTACCACGCGTCTCGTAGATGCATGCCGTATCGGAAAATAAAGAAAAACATTGTCGAGACAAGAAATAATTCTTGATTAATCCAAGGTTCTCTTTGGGATCGTTCGAGTTAATTGAACGATCCGCGGTGGTCGAGTGCGCGCGGTGGCTGCGCGGCGCCGGCGTGCACGTTAAACTAGTCGAAATGGGAGCGAGCCGCGAAGGATTCGAAACTCTGTTTTAAAATTGGCCAAGTTTGTTGGAGAAGGCTTTCGATAGACCGGATGAGTTTGAGAAACGAACAACCTCGATTCGTACCACGTACGTCGTTTAAGCAAGTTTAAAGCAATAATTGGCTAGAGATCATCGTATCGCGTCGGTTGTTTTCCCTCGATCGGAAGACCCTTAAATCTTTAAGCTTTATAGAAATCGATTCGTTTTCCCAGAAGAGGTACAACATAGTTGTTCGTTGTAGACGACATTCAAGAGGAATACCGAACACAGACCAAAGTCTTTCTATTCGAAACGTTAAATGGCAGGATCGTTCGTCCTCGGATACACGAAAGGATTCCTTCGAATGTCCTTTCGATATTAGCTGGATCTACTGTTTCATTGGAACAAACTACGAACGAAACCAAACGAGTTGACGGTGACGCTGTAACGGAATCTGCGATCCAGCGAATAGTAGCCTCTCTTTGGCATAGGTCGAACTATATTTGCATACCGGGTGAAACGAATAAATCAATTTTAATATGAAACGATGAAGAAAAAAATAATCGCAACACAACGGAAGCGAGGGTTCGTGGAGGACGCGTGGAAGAAAACGGTTCGTGGACAGAAACGAACAAGAACCGCGAAATCGGGGCGTGGATTGGCTGTCGTGAGAGGGGATCGTCTAACAAAGCCATCGGTACGCAGGTGAACCGAAACGACCGTCTGCTCGGCAAGCTGCGTCGTTCAAGTCTCCGGTTGGCGCGCGTGCGACTACTTACCAGCAGGCAGAAGCGTACCAGCAACAGCGGCGGCAACTCGAGTCGTCGAGTCGAGTCGAGCCGGCGCGGCGCGGCGCGGCGCAGAGATGGGCCAGCCAGTCCCTACTGGGCCCACGAAACCCTCAGTCAACCGATGCGCGTCACTGCGAGTGTACCGGTGCTTTCGTTGCCGCGATAATATTTCCTCTCCTCGGACAAAACTACTTAAACGGATAACTTTCTAAATAATTGCCAGAACATACGAAAGCGAGAAGGTTTGGATCTTTGCACGATTGCCGATTGGACGCTTTGCGAAGAAATGTAGCCCTCGGGTTGAGCTCGAAGGTGAAACCGATCGCGATCGATCAAGCTCGTTTCTGTATCGCGAGGGACGGTGAGATCCCCCCCGTCGGCGTGTGACGCGTCGTTGGGTGTAGCGACCTTGAAATACTGCACCAGTATCTCGAAGGCTAGGCGATTTGCATGCGCTTCGATCGATGGAACATTGTTGGTGCGAATTTACGCGGCGCTGCTGGCGCCTGTTCCGATCCAACGTCGGACAAAAGCAACTGTTGGTCGAAAACGAAAAGCAAGGAAAGGGAAAACCGATCCACGTGCGCGTACGATCGCGACGCCACGTCGCTGGTAGCGCGAACCAGAAGCGTCGGCGTCGGCTGCAACGTGGATTATAAGTCATGTTCAGCAGGTTCGAGCTACTACAGGGTGCTGTCAGTTATCTTCTGTTAACAGGTGTGCATCGCGATGGTCAAACGTTTCGCTGGATTTGTGACGTGTTCGAGGCGCGATCGCGTTTAGGTAATTCGCGAATGAATCGGTGAGGAATTCGAGAACATCGCCAGGAAGTTTCGTAGAACTCTTTAAAACGAGAGTTACGGCGATTGGTGTATGTCGCGGGACGCTCGACGAACGATCGCCAGCGATAAATCATCTCTCTAATTGGACGTCGCGACGCGTCCAACTCGATAGTCGTATATTAATCGCGGAGCATATGGAAGTCGTTTACGCGACACGTAGTACGCATTCGACCGAAAAAATTCGGTTCGTCGACTCGGTAGATTTTTATCGGGAAAAACGGTATAAGAAAAGAGAATCGTTATTGTCGATACCATTGTATCGATAAAGGGACAAACTTTGCAATAATAAGATTGGAAAACACTTGCTCGGAAATCAAGAGGTCCTTTCAAGTAGTTTTGCAAACTTACCAAGAAAACGTAACGAGAAAAATGCTAAATTTCTCGCGTTGATCAATGCTATTGTTTTAATACAAGTTTGCCGGTCTCTGACTTTATTTTTATCGGAACGAAAACTACGCGCGTTACGTTACGATCGAACTCGTTCGAACGTTTGCTGTGTTAAGTCGCAACCCTCTCTTTGGAGGCCGAGCCAGCTCCCCTTTTTCCTTGTTCCATCTTTTTTCTCTTTCTCTTTTGACCTAGTCACAGAAGCCTGTCCTCCTCTGCCACAGCCCCTTTCCCATGACGTACGTGCGTGCCGTGCATGCACGTTGCTTTCCATTGTTTACGCAATGCTTCCTCGACCGGCTCTGCGCGCTCCGTCTTTTTCGCTCTTTAACGTCACCACCTTTCTTCCCCTGTTTCTTTCGTCATTGGGTCGTTGCTTTTCTAAGGGTATACTCGGAGTAACGTCGAGGAAAGGTTACGTCGACCGCGTTGATTCTCGCTCAGGGATCTTTGAGTATTTTACATTAGCTCCCGTTATCTTTAGAATTTTTCAACGGTTTCTGGTTGGGAGTATGTACCTCGAATGTAACGATCGAAGGGTGTATTCCGCCGCTTTCGAGGATGGCGCCGATTTCGTCGATACACGAATATCGAATACTTGAAATGTAACACGATTAACAACGGGCGAAAATATTCGCGCGAAACGGATGCGTTTATCGTGGACACGGCTACGATAAAGATGGCCGATTTCAATACCGCATTCATTGTCGTGCTTATCTCGGAAGTTGTTGTTCTTTTTTATTCCAAATACGTCAACGTCTGTTATCGCAGATCCGAGAAATTTTATCGCTCCGTCGACACTCGCCAAGCGAACAACAAACGAATCTCGCTGTAACGATGTCGTTACGTTCTCGCGGTCGAAAGCGCGCTCCTCCGTTATCCTTGGACGCTAATTAACTTTACAGATGCTAATCACCATCCCTTTTCTTGTTTGTTTCAGAACGTGAAAGACACACCGCCAACAGGCTATCGGCGTAAGTATTCTATAAATTTGGCTTCTCTCGAGAAGGACTAATTATCGCGCGCCAGCTATCACTCGCGGTGGCGTACTCGTTGATTGAAATTATAATTGTTCGACGACAGATTTCGCTTCGCAATCCACCGTGCGGGGAGATGCTCGACGAACAAACGATAGTTTTTCCACAATGGGACGTAACAACGCGAGGGAGTCGTGGCGTCGTCGGACACGCGGCTCGCGACCTTGTCCAATTCTGATAACGTTAAACTCGAGCCGCGCACCACGATAAGGGATTTCGCTCCCCGCTCGTGTCGTAATAATGTGTCGCATATTTTTATTTCGTTGCCACGTCTTTCTTCCACTACGCTCAGGATATTAGGTGTACGTACTTATCGTTACGTGTATGCGCACACTTGGTTATTTTTCGTTTTTACGATTCTTTGGCATATTATTTTTAAAATACAAGGGCTAAGAATTACGAAATTAGTGTTGCTCGATGCGCAATAGTAATCGTAAACGCATTAAAAGCATGAAAACGTTTTATATGTAGCACGCACGTTGATACATTCGGTTATCGAGTAGCCGTCCTAGTACAGCAGCGGCTTATCGCCGAGCTACTTCCATTCCTCGGTTCGATAAACATAATTCGCGCATTTATATCGAAGTAGCGATAATACTGGTCTAACGATTACTCGGCCACTTCGAAGAACGCGATTGACGTCGGTCAACGTCAACGATTCAAAGTTATTTTAATTATCGACATTTTCGCAGTGGATGACTCGATACATAGACTTCTCTTCAAAGACTTTTTTTTTAGCGACTCCCTTACCGGCAGCTTCAACCTATAAAAGAACGCGGCATACGACGTAGCATTTACCTATTTCGAATTTCTATCAGCGAAGGGGTAAGCGGTAAGCGTAAATGGGATTCGTTGAAATTACGTTATCGATGAAGACGATGTCGCGTAATTTGTTAAATTCAATCTTCGATTCCACGACGAGTCGTGGAAAGAGGGTAGGGTGCGCTCGTTACCGTGGAAATAAGTTCCTCGTAAAATTAATCGAAATCATAGAATTAAACGATGACCTTCCTGGTAGGCTCGATTAGAGCATTCGCATCGCGACTACCAACCCTGAGACCATTGTCAGACAAACTAATGAACCCCATGGAATTCGTTCACCGAGGAACCTTCGTAATGTTGTTCGCAAACTTTCGATTCGTTCGACTTGTCGACATCTTCTTTGTCTCTCGGCAGTACCGCGCAAACGCTCAAACGATATCTGAGGAAACTTGTCGTTAATCGACTCCCATCGATGCTCATCTCGGTATGCGATCCAGGAGAGTCACTTCTGGATCCTGACATTGTTTACTCGTTCTCAACTGGTCTCCCAGCTTTATTTGAAACAGAGATAATCGGTAGTCGAATATTTATAATGGGACCTTTTCGCTAGGAAATTAAACGTCTCTTTGAATACCGAACATAGGAACGTCCGAGCTACGGTGCGCGTATTTCCTCGGGCGAAATTTACGTTTCCAGCGCGGATAACGAGCTCGCATCGAAATTTAGACGGTCAAGTAAAATATTCTTGATGAGGAACGCGTTGAAATTTCAGTTGTGCTTCGGTCGGCGAGTTTGATGTCTCCTTTAGCGATCGAGTCAGCGGTTGCTTCCCCTCACTCCTCCCCCCATCTCGTAATATATGTATACGATGTATACATTTGCATATACAACTTGTCTCAGCTTGCCCTGTTTCAGATTTTAGTGGTTCAACGACTACGTCAACGAAATACGTTGCAGTCGATTCTTGGCTTTTTCCCTGGTCCGTTACACGGTTGAGAGAAAAATCTAGTTCGATAAATAGTTTTTCGTTTATCGATTTTTTTCAAAACGATGAATTACAATCCTCCGTTATCGAAGATAGAGGAAACGAGCGGGCCGTGGAGAAAGAGAAAAAAGGGTGGACGGAGAAAACGTAGAGAAAAAGAGACCGTCGAGTCGCGATGAATCGAGGGAGAAGTAATAAGGGGTTAAAGGTGCGGGGTGCGAGGGAGTCGTAGCGACGAAGCGGGTATCGGAAGCGCGTGCAGGGATTAAAAACGGAGTAGGACAGGAGCACGGGGATGCGGAGGATAGAACCCGCGAGGAAGAGGAACACGATAGACGAAACGAGACACGGGTTCTCGATGGGAAGAGGAGACTGAAGAAAAGGTTCGGTGTGATTCGCGCGATGGAAAGAGGTAAAGAAGGAGGACGAGAGAGAACGACGACGGTATACACGTTGGAACTTGCGAAGTTATTCGCAACAGGCAGTTCGCTAGTCTCTGTCTCGCGGAATTGTACGTTCTGCTGCCGGCAGTTTCGTTTCTCGGTTACCCTCGTATCCTACCGTCACGGCGCCGCGGCGCGCGGCATGGCATCGCCACCTCCGATGGTTCCACCGCATTTTCGTTCCTTGCGCCGCTTCACCGCCGGCTATCTTCATCCATACTTCCTCTACCTCCTCGTTCTTGTTTTAATGGCTACCAGAACTCGATATCGCACCCGACGAGACCGCCCGCGCCGTCGTCAGAGAAACTCCACGGTAGTACACCTTCTTTCGAGTTGATTTAACGGACGTTATCATTTATCGATTGCATTGCAGCATAAGCTGTTTTACGTGAAATGTGTCGTCGATTCGATGAGGATCGTTGCACGGAAGCATCTGACATTTTCTAGTGTACAACGCGAGGAGTTTGCGATCGTAAACGTTAGGTAATAGCGAAATTATCGTTTGGCATTTCTCTCGTTCGGCAACATCGATTCAAGTGTTTTTCAGCTACACGAATCGATGGATAGTGTAAACCCGAACTATTGTTCATTGAAGCGATGTCAAGGAAAGTCTCGGATCCGACCGAGATCTAGGCGTTCGTTCTTGCTGGAATTTTCACGTTTGATCGTTCAAACGTAAAACTACCGAAAAAGATAATGTCCGGTGGATGGCGCTCGTAGAATGGCTAACAACAATTCATTCCGTTCGTATGGTTCGAGTCCAAAATCCTTTCTTTTAACACCCGGTACGTTTTAGTAGGCAAACACAGTCTCGGAAAATGCATCGCGTGCGCCGCGCCAGCGCAGGGATCAACGTTTGCGCTTCGAACGGAACGGAATTTCCACAGCCCTTTGAATAAAATATTCCCAGCGAATCGGCGCAACCGAAGGATGATTCGCGTAAAATTGTTCGGTCTCGTCTCTTTCGCGTTGGCAATTACACGGGCGCTTCGTCAAAGCGTTTAATTCGATGAAAGGGCGGCCGGCTCGCGGGCCCGGTGGCTTCCTTTTTTCTTCCCTCGGGTCGCGTCTCTCTCTTCTTTTTCCCCCGGAAACGTTTCGCGTTCGTTCCCAGCGATGCCGGATGCACGGTCTTTCTTGTCGCGCGTCGACACACCGCCGCTCGTCTCGTTCGTGTGGTCTAACCACCATCAGAAACGCGCTCTCACAGCCTTTTACCTGCTTGCGCGTGTACACGCGTTTCTTGTACGCAGAGGTAGGCAACATTCTTATCCGAATACAAATTTCAAACATCGCGAATTCGTAATCTAGGCAAATCTAGAGGAAACGTCAATGCGTGGTACGAAATTATATTAAATATCTTTATTATGTATCGAGATCCGTGATAGAAAGTAATAAAAAACCTCTCTTCCGATGCTACATTGTCGTGTTATTCAGATGAAATTGTGCCCATCTTTGCTCGTACGTGTGTGTGTGTGTGTGTGTGTCCGTTGCTCGCTATAGACGCGCTCTCTTGCGCCTGGGCTAGGATACAGCCGTGTTCCGTTGTAAACCGGAGGGATCACGCGAGGTTAAAGAAACCTCGGTGTTCCCCAAGCCCGACGCAGGAACAGGTTCTGCTCCTTTTTCCATGCGATCACAGGAACGAGCAGCATTAACGCGGTGACAGATGGAAATTGATTCGAGCCACGATTACCGTGTACCGTTTCGCCTTGAACGAATGTTTCCGACGCGAGCGTTTCAACGAATCGATGGTTCTGCCACGGTCCTCGCGAATTCGCGACTACGACGTAGAACCCTCGTGTTCTGTGTTCAGTTCTACCGTGATTCTTTGGAAATGGCAGCAAGACAAATTTCAACAAGGCTCGCTTCGTGTTTATCAATAAAAAGGCGTGGCGTCGTCCTTCTTATCGCAAGGAAGGAATGAAAGTAATAACGAACACCGTGGCCGTGGAGTTAAAAACGTTCCCACGGAGTCGTGCAATTTGTACCGTTCGAGGATCGATCGTTAAATCTCTTTCGCGCGCGCGCGCGCTCGCCGATTTTGCCAATTTCCTCGCTGTTTTCGTCGAGTTCACGGGTTCACGAGTTATCCTCGCATCGTAGCGTCTGTCGGCAGATTGACTGCAGCGCGCAGTTCCAAAGTCAATCAAAACTTTTAACGCGATCTCGTTTAATAAGTCAATAAAATCGGTCGGAGGAGATTCAATTTGATCGTGTTCGAATTTTCCGCATGGTTCGTGACTCTACGAGAAATCAAATTCGCGATATACGCAGAGGGGTAAGGGAGAGTGGTCGAGCTCAGGCATCGATCACAACGTTTAAAAAACAATTTTCTCGCATCGGATGTAATCGAAGAAAGTATGGCAAAGTATCGGGTGGCCAAAATGTCTATCACGGTATCGATATTTCTTCGAATATATCAATTTTTGCAATTTTTGCAATTTTTATAGAGCTATGCTTGGACGGTACAAATAGCATAACTCGAATAAAAAGGACACCGCGGGGATGTGTTCGATCGAAACTGAGCGTACAGGCAGTCAGCCATATCCGCGAACGTCGACGAGGACGCAGGACAGCATGTTTAAGGTCGACGACCCTTCCGTACATCCGCGTTCGGCGCTTCGCGTACTTTCCCTCTTTATCTTTCAGCTCGACTCTATTTCCTTGCTTCCCCGTACTTAGCTACTTAGCGTTGCTTTCCATTCCTTTCTGCCGGTTGCCGCGCGTTGTCCATCCTGGGGAGCACCGTCTTCGTCGGATGTGTTCGCGTGGACCGTCGATCGAGGGTGAAAGGACCCTCGTCTTCTCGTGTATATCTTTTCTCTTTTTCGTGTACGCGTTTGTACGGTGCTCGTGAGCTCTGCAAGTGCCGACGCGTCCTGTCGGTCAGCGACACGAATGCGAGTAGATAGAGAGATCTGTGGTCAGACAGAATGTCGATATTTTGGTGCACGCAGCCGATAATGAATCGCGTAGTATTGTTCTGGGCTCCGTGAATGGATAACTTTGGAACGCGACGATACGTCGACTGATTGTGAGTAGTTATTTCTGCGGCCAGCTCGGTTTATTCAAACGACACGAATTTAAAACAAAGTATATAAAGCATTTTTAGCGAGTCCCTTTCAATTTCAAGGATCGTGGGTGCAAATTTGTTTGCTAAACGAAGCGGAAAGCTGCGCTTAACCGGGGGAATACCTAAAGGGTCCAAACGCTGCAAAAGTATAGTTTTTCGAGTTGGTTATCTTTCTCTGCGAGCAGTTAGACAACGATTAATTTTTGAAAAACTCTTAAAGATTCGGCTCTAAAACTCCGCTGACATTGAAACTAGAATATACGTGTATGTACGTTTGTTTGGCAGAATTAAAAAATAAAAGATCTCTCCGAGTTCAAGTAAAAGTTACATCCGATCGGTTCTTCCGTCGATTCGCGGTTGATTGGAAGACAAAAGTGAAAGTGTCAATGGAATGCGAGAAATACGCGAACAGGGCACTGTGACAAAGAAACCGACGAAGGAGGCGAGGCGAGCGTGAAACAGCAGTTTCAGAGATCAATGAACGATTGTTTCTACCTTGCCACGCCTCGCTTCACCTCGCCTCGCCTCGTCTCGTCTCCTCTCGCCACGCCACGCCACGCCATGCCACGCCACGCTACGCCACGCCTCGCCTCGCCTCGCCTCGCCTCGCCTCGCCTCGCGTCGCGTCGCGTCGTTCGTGTTCTACAGGTTGCCACGGCACGCGTTCTCCGTGTACGCGTTCTTCTTCTTGTTGATTCTAATCGCGAATGCTTCGTTCTCTTATCCACGAGCGGGCTCGTTCTTTCTTCCTATCTCCTTTTTCCAACAGCAATTTCAAAGCTGTTTCGTCGATACAGTTTCATTTCGCAAGAGAAAGTTGTATATCAGCTTCGAAAAGTTGGCTAAAACTGTTCGTAATGTCATATTCAACGTATCGATTAAACTTTTCGAACGACGAGGTATTAATCTCCTTTGTTCGCTTTGCGTGACAAGTCTTCATCCGTATCTTACGTAAACGATGTCCTTCTGTTTGTTACAGAGATTTGGAAGGGGACCTAAGATTGTCCGAGGACAGCGACGATGAGACGGGCAAGGTAAGCCGGTAGCCAAATTAATCGACCAGAATAAAACGTACCGTTATTTTTCTTCGTACATAATATCGCAATGATTCGTTTGACGTCAAGTTTCAATTCTACAATTTTGTTCCGACCCGCAACGTTTCCGTATCTTTTCGATAAACTAAAATTTGAAATAAATATTTAAATTTAGAGTGGCGTCGCGGCAGTTTTTTTTGTTTGAAATTAATTACTAATCGTTTCGATCTTTTTCCTCCAGGGGACGTCTTCGCGGCCAGTTAGAGGAAGCAGAAGCCCCGACCTCACGGTCGAGTAAGTATCCGTTTGATAGATTCCAATCTTCTTGTTCGTTTATTTTTGAATTTTGATCGCGTCGGCGAAGAAACGAACGAAACGCTAACGAATACGTTCCGTTCCGTTCCGTATCCACAGTCTGTCGACGCCGTTGATACCAGCTATGACACCGGCGCCACCGCCTCTGGCTCCCATGTCGCCCATGGGATTGTCACCCGTGGGACCGTTGTCGCCGACGAGACCGCTCAGTCCACCCAGACCGTCGTCACCGCCGAAACAGATGACACCCGAGCGAATACTCTCACCACCGCCGGCCAGTCCTCTGCAATCGAAAGACTCGTCGAGCCCTACGATAGACCAAAGGCCACCCAGCCCGCCAGGCCAGGCGCCACAGAGTTCCGGAAGCGCGAGCTCCAGTTCCGATTCCGGATCGGACTCCGGCTCGGACAGCAGCGACGACTCCGAGGACGAAACAGGCGTTCAACCCGCCAAAGGCCCATCCACCCCTCCCTCTTTGTCACCAAAGACCGACAATCTGATCGAAGAGCCACCCCCCGCGATAGAGGAGTCCAAGCCTAGATGGAACTTGAGCTCCTTCTTCAATAAGTCGGCTGTGTCGCATGGCGAACAGAACCCGGAAACTAAACAGACTCAGGTAAGCTTCGATTTCGTTAGACGAGAAACATTTCGTATTCTCCGCTGCACCATTCACGTGAACCTTTTTTTGTTTCCAGGATTGCAACAGGCGGCAAAGTTCCCCGGCGGCGACTACGGAAACGAGAACGCACAGGGACAAGGCGGGGGTACACGATTGGAAACTTGACGAGGCCCTAAAGAGGACTCATAACGCGACGATGATAAGCCTCCTCAGCGACAGCGATCCTCATTCGGACCAGGAGAAGAGTCAGCCCGTGGAGGAGACGCGCGCGCAGACGGAAAAACCAAAAGTGGCCGACGCTAGGAAACGTGGCCGGCCTAGAAAACCTACCAAGAGTCCGAAGGGTAGCCATCGTACGTCGGAAGATACACTGAAAAATAGTAAACCGCGTAGCAGAACGCGAGGAGTGGCCAGTCCTCTGAAAAAGAAACAGCCGATCTCCAAGGCCACCATTGCGACCAGCGATGACGGCAGCGACGACAGATCGCAGGGAGCTTCCAGTGCCTCGGATAGCGATCGTCCGACCAGAGTATCGCCCGAAGTCGCCGCTGTATTAAGCGATAAGAGGCGGACGAGATTGAGCGGATCTTCCAGCGAGGACGAGAATCCGACGAATGCGAAGCGCAATAGCGCCTCTGAGGACGACACCACGCGTTGGAGGCGAGTCCCCATCAAGAGAACCAAGCTCGCGGATTCGCCGAAGAAACAAGAGAAGAAGAAGAGCCCCGCTAAACCGAAATCGAGAAAGTCCAGTTCGAGGGTTGCCAATGTCGGTGGATCCGACTCTGACAGCGAGTCCGAGGTGTCGATGAGGAATAGTCGTATTCAAGTCGCCAGGTGAGAGAGAGAGAGAGAGAGAGAGAGAGAAAGTACACTTTAATAATTTCGCGTTATAGAATAAGCAATCGAACGGTTTATTAAAATTCAATCGATATGGAATCGAAGTTGCGTTTGTCAAAATCTAAACATTCAATTTTTTCACGTGAAACAGGGTACCTCCGAGACCAAGGGTACCGCCAACTCGGACAACTTCTCCGGAGAACTCGGACAGCGACAACAGTCCAGGGCCAAAGCTCCAAGAGGAAGACGCCGGTAATGTCCAGGATAAGAAGAAGAGCGATACACTCCGGAGAGTGTTCTCGACTTCGGTAGGCGGTGGAAAGGGCGGCGGTAAGGGTGGGAAAGGTGGCAAAGGCGGAGGGAAGTGTGGAATCTACGTGGAGGAGTACACGACGTCTGCCAATACTCCGACCGGAGGGGAGAGTCCGTACAAGAGGCCGTCGTCGCAGGCGTCCAGCGTCGTTCAGTCTTTTCCGCCGTTCAACTACGTGAACGGTGTGCCCAGTTTACTCTGCAGGATCGACCTGAACAAGCTTCCCCATATATCTCAACTATCCAGAGGGCAAGAGTTGAGACAACGCACGGAATTGCCCGACACCAGGCCGTCGTCCCGACAAGCGACCGCATTACCCGCCCAGCCACCTAGGCCGTCCACGCCGGAGGAGGGCGAGATAGTTGACACACCGCCGCCTCAGCAGCTACCATTGGAGACCAGGAGTCACGGGGACGCGTTGTTAGGCGACGGCGATCATAAAAATCGCGCTGTGATCAAAGGCGAACCGATTTCGGACTCGAAGAACAGTTGCGCCGGTATCGTCGGTGGAGGTGCTAGTGGAGGTGGTAATGGTGCTAATGGCGCGGTTAGCGCGCCCAAGAGGAAACGTAATCCGAGTTGTAGTTCCGTGTCCAGTTTGAGCACTGTGTGTTCCGTAGAGGCTAAGGCGAAGGGACCAGGTGAGCACAAAGAGAAGAAGAAGAGAAAACGGAAACACGTCGACGTCGAAGCTGTTCTATCCAGGCCATCTTCCAGTCAGGTAAACGTCTACAAAGTTTTCCCGATACAGAAATGTGTTCTTCGAGTTGCACGATTCTGTCTCTGCATGTTTTTACTACTACTACTCGCGTGTTTTTTTCTTCTTCTTCTTCTCGAACGTTTCTCTTCCTAAGTTCACGCGAACATATTTAATTTCAATCACTTCTTGTAACTATCAAATAGCAAAGCGATATAATACAACCAACGAATCACGAGCGGGAAGAAAAACCCGACACGAGCCTATTGCCGCCACCGCCCCCGCCTCAGCGTGTCTATTATTCCTACTTCAATCCTCAGAACGAAGTGTTGGAGGATCAGGATAGGTGGTAAGTGGTAGTTTTCTTGGCGACGATTGACGCGAACACGGTAGAGAAACAGCGACTCAATTAGGTTTGGGGACTCGATTTTACAGGGACCAGAATCAGTACCTGATGGAAGCGAAACGGTTGAAGCATAGCGCCGACAAGGAGTGCGAACTCACGGCGCAGGGTATGCTTTACCTAGAAGCCGTTCTCTGTTTCCTACTCACTGGCAATGCCATGGAGTCGGATCCTCTCACCGAGAGAGCGTCGTTCACCATGTACAAGGATACTCTTAGTCTCATCAAGTGAGTACATCTCTAATTAAGCCCAAACTACAACGAAGAGTGCTTCCTAATTAAAGCGATCTCCGATTTCCCCTTGCCCCTTCCCCTAGGTACATCTCCTCGAAGTTTAAGAGCCAGCAGAACAACTCACCGGAGAGCAATATACATAACAAGCTGGCCATTCTAAGGTAGGTGCTCCACTTTTGAGACTTTCGTCTATCCCACGATTGCATTTCGTTACGCTCTTGATCTGTCTTTGTTGTTCCAGCCTCTTTTGCCAGTCCCTCATATACTTGAAGCTCTTTAAGATGCGCAGACACGAAATCAAAGAGAATCAAAAAATTCTTACCGACTATCATCAAAAGGTCAGCACGAGCCACAACTTCTTTACATCCTTTTCAACGTCTAGTATCGACAAAGTATCAACGACTCGCGGTTTTCTTGTATTTTCAGCCTGCACAGGCGACCCAGGTGCAACCCGAAGGACAAGGAACGCCTTCTTTGTCACCGACACCGTCACCGGCCGGTTCCGTAGGTTCCGTTGGCAGCCAGAGCTCCGGATACAGCAGCGGCGAATTGGCGAATCGAGGTGCCGCTTCCGGTCAACCCCAGGTAGCGACGTACGTTAGCGTTCCGCTCACCGTTCACGCTGCTCTGGCGAAACAACATCATCATTTCAGCTTGCTACTGAGTTGCCACGATCTCTGGGATCAGGCAAATGCTTTGGTGACGGACAAGCATAGAGGTGAGCTTTGGAACTTTACACGTTATGATTTCTGAGGCAGGCTCAAAAAGTATTTGAAACAAATCTGGCTTGGTTCGAAAAAAGTATATTATTGTTAAGTAAATGATGAATCTTCTTTTATATTTTTGTTGTTTATCGTTTCAGATTTCTTCATCGAGCTGGATGAAAAATTGGGACCCCTCACGTTGAAAAGTTCGCTGCGTGATCTGGTGCGTTACGTTCAGGCTGGTATCAAGAAGCTCCGAGATCTCTGACCACAGTGGCATAGCCCCCGACCGCCAACCCCGAACTACATCACTTCTCTCCCGCAAAACATGGTCACGTATCCGACGATGTTCACGTAAAGCTCATCGCGATACGTCGAACGATCGTTTCGAGATTCCGAATAAGTATAAACGTCGGTTGTGTGATACTCGTTAGAAAATTTTTGGAATAGCGGAGATGAGAAGTCGAGTTCGTGCTCAGCCGTTAAAAGAATTGTTTCTCTTCGGGGTGGCAAGAAGAAAAGAATACCGGTGGTCAGGGGAAGTGTCGGCCGCGAGAAGGATTGTTGGTTACGCTGGCTCGCTCGCGCCTAGGACAACTGATAGATTTCTCCTTTTTAGGGGATCGCGTTCGAGTACCCCGGCATTTTTTTGTTCGACTCTTAGCATCAAGTATATAGTTAAGCGATTCGTCTAACCAATGAACCACAAGAACTAAGATATCTCGTAGCTCTGTTCTTGACTACGCATGATTGGCAATGCAAAGTCGGAGATCGAATCGATATGAAGATAACACATACAATCGAAGAGCTATGAAGCGGTTTTGGTTTCTCTCTTTTTCTTTCTTTCTTTCTTTCTTTCTTTTTTTTTTTGTAAGTTGTTGGGACGAATTGAAATCGAACGACGAACTAAGAAAGGGGGTAAGAATACGACGAAGAAGGAATAAGAAGTGCCACAGAAGCGCCCGTGTGTTCTCGCTTTACGGTGCGCCGCAGCCGACGTTACCTGAAGCATGAGTTTCGTTTTGGCGATTCGAGTGCGACGAATACACAAGGATATATACATATATGCATATAGTTTATTACGTGTATATATATATATACACACACATAGATATGAATATATTTAATGAAGAGAGAGAACCAACGCGTCACGCACGTCTGCGTTTCGTTTTTAGTAAAGATGAAAGGTAAGAAGAAAAAGGCGGTCTCGAGATCCGCAAGAATGGGAGGGAGATAAATTGGATAAATAAATCGGTGCGATGTATTTTCTCTTCGGTGGAGGGATATGCACCGCGCGAGCAACAAGATCAACCGGTCGATCATGACCGATGCACTATAACGAATACTATTGTCCGACGTTTACGAACAATGGACGCACGATTCTTTTTTGTAGGTAGGTTACAGAAAAAGAAAGAAAAGGTAACTTAGATTAGATAATTAATACGCAACAAGGTGGAGAACAGAAAAAAGAAGAGTAAACGGTAACAAAAAACAAAACCAACCAATACACATATTATTTACATTACTTAGAACTTAAACGGGGAAATAAGTAGAGGTTCTAGCGATGAGAAACAAGAAATAAAAACAGATTATTCAGATAATTGTACGTATAGCGCATACCACACATATTATACATAGTGCGATTACAGGAAAATAATAAAAAAGTGGAAAAGGAAAGCGAGAACAAACACGCCGAATACGAAGAATAATAAAATAATCGCGTGTAACGGAGGGATTCACCGCGGGCACGTCCTCTCGCGTTACACGGGATGCAAGAGGAATAATCGAAGGAAACAGAAAATATAAAAGAAAAAAGCGTAACGGATAAGCAAGTTGCTCATGTGTATATTTTTGTAAATAGGTATTTGCGAGTGCCGCCGCCTTGAGGGTGGCCTGTCGATGCGTTACGATGCGCGGCAGGCCGGCCCGCTCCAATTTTTGCTACCACAAATCTTATCGAGAATCAGGAAATTTCTGGTAAAAAATGAAAGAAAAGAATATTAAAATATGCGACACACAAGGTGTTACAGACATGTCCGCCGAATTTGTCCCGAAGGTTCTTTCCGAGTCCAGTTCTTACTAGTACACGTAAATAGAATTTTTATTTCGTCCACTTTGGTCGTACGTACTCACTACTAACTATTCATCCGCGGCTCCCTCGGAAATTTGTTCTATACGTTGTCTACGTTAGCGTTTGCTCGTTTTGCTTCCTTTCCAATGTTTTTTTCCCTTTTTTTTTTTGTTTGTTTTTCTGTTAGCGATGTATCGTAGATGCGCGCGCTATTCAGCGATTTTCCTGTACTTGAGTCGATCCGGTGGCCACGGGACCCAGAGAATGGAATGGCTTAAAGCGAAAAGTCTACGAGACCTGAGCGTAATGTGTTTCTTTATATTTCTCGATAAAACGGTGAATTCGATTCGATAGCTTGCCGTTGCGACAAAGAAGGATAAACAAAAGAATGGACGAGGACGTTGGCAAAGGGTGAAAAGTGTTGGCAACGATACGACTGGAGCACGAACGCGATGAAACAAAGAATCTCGAGAACCACGGTCGAACATATCCAAATACAAATACAAATTTTAATTCGATCGAAAATTTTGGAGCCTTTTTTTCGTCAGATTTTACGTTGTCGCAAAGAAGTTGGACCAATATATTATTCTATTCTAAACGAATCAATTGGTTGCTGACACTTTTCTATGCTCAACGGTTAAGAGAAGCTAGAACAGCGATTGAATAGTACGGTCGAATATGGTTGACGAGGTTTACGAGGGCCCATAGAGTTACTAAGCGCGGTCCAATGGTTCACGGGATACAATTTTATACCTCGTGTGCGCGTGCACACGGACGCAAAGGACAAGGAGACTAAAAAAGACAAAAAAAGAAAATGAAAGAGAAGTCTATTAAAAAGTTTTGATATTTTCGAGACACACATTTATAGCGGATACGTATATAAATATCAGGCCCCCTTCCTCTCGTCAGCCATTATCGTGGCAAAAGACGTGCACGCGGGCAAAGATGGGCAAAATTTGCGTCTTGATAAAGATTTCGAATAATGAATAGAAGATGAACATCTTTGTACAACGCATACATTTATTCGTTAAAAACGATAAATAAATTATAAAGTAGAATTAAATTTCACGTTGAACGAATACAAGTTTACCCAAATATCATCCGTTATTCGAATAAAATTTTTCCCGTCTCTGCGCACAGGCCGAAATTTCAACGATTTTGGCGACTACCGCGTATCGGTTCATTCAAAATCGAACGCGCTTCCATATTTTTATCGAGAAGTCGTGTACAACGTGAGTATTACCGTTCGTCTCAGGTTCTCCTTTTCGTCCATGGTCCTCCGTGCGATAGCTTCTTCGTGGTTTTTCTGTTATATTATCGTTAATATTATTGCAACCCTTTCCCCACCACCCCCCCCCATTTTTTTTCTTTTTAATTAATAAAAAATAGTACTCACAGCAAGAGTCCTCGCGCACAGAGGCATTCTCTTATTACTTTTGGCGAGTCTACGTTCCTACTTGACCTCCAAAGACGAGAAGCGAAGGGTGCTGTCGTTCCGATTACTATTGCCACGTAGGGGTTTGGAGGACAGAGACTTTTTTGTTTTATGTTTCCTTTTTGTGCGGACGCGAACTTTTCTTGTTTCGTTTATTTTCTAGTTTGTCTTTAACCGATTAGTTGTCGGGTCGCGTGAACCTTTGCTACGGTTTTAAAAGAAATTTTATTGTCACGCGTATATTATCATTATTATTGCAACCTTTATTATTAATTTTATTATTATTATATTATTATATTATTATTATTATTATTATTATTATTATTATTATTGAGTTATTGGTACTACGATCGTTATTATATATTTCGAGGTATTTATACGAATGAATGGAGCCGAGAGGTACAGAGAGAATTGGGGTTTGCGTGTCTCTGCCGCGTGTGTGTTTGTGTTTGTACGGGACAAGCGAGAGATCGAAAGGAGAAGAAAACGGTTAAATCGATGCGTGTCGCAACGACAGTTGTATATTGTACCTAAATACAGCAGCAAAAAATGATTTTTCGACAGTTGAACGAGAAGTTTGTCGAGCGTACATATTATATATACATATGTATTATACATAATAATCTTGAAGTTCGGTTAAATGCCGTTTGTTGTTTTTTTTTTTTTGTTTTTTTTTCGTCTTCTTTACCCGCTACGCCGTAACTGTAATATAACTGTTATATACATGTATACATACAGAAACACACACAGACACAAACACGAGCATATATATAAAACATAGACATGCAATCATAATTATATTGTTATATAAATAGTATTATATGATAATTATTTTACTATACTCTCGTATACGGTCACATCGCGTGCCACCAGAATTCCAATGCTGAACGCGTTGCTACGGCTGGAGAACTCTCCGAACCCTTCGACGAAAGTGCCAATATTTACCGTGGAAACGATTGGCTCCAATTTTAAATCGGCCCTGGAATATCGAAAGTGAAAATCAGTTCGATTCGAGCACCTTTACGAAAATTACTAAAAGATACGTGTCTATATTTGTATTTCGAGCCACGAGGAAAAAAAAGGGTCGGAGAGCTCGTCTTCCATGCTGAGCCGAGCAGGCGTATGGGTTAACGGCAGCGAGCAATGCACAAGCAATTTAATTAGTTACGTATCGCGTGGCGCGATCGACGCTCGGATGGTGGACTCTGCGTACGATTCGAAGGGTAGTCACCAAGCGAAACTATAACGCGCGAGAATCATCGTTGCTCGAAATATAATCGATCGCTACGATTACCGAGCGATCACGAATAAACGAACAACGCGTGATTAAACACCGTTAACTACGACATACTACAAATTACCGATTTGTGATTACAGTTTACAAACATAGTCTACGGTTATCGATTAATTTTAATATTGCGAGCGATCGTTACACAAGAATAATCTCGCGATGTAATCACTGCTCAAATCTGCCGAGAATAGAAAAATCTCGACGCAACAAGATCAGCTTCTCTCTCGTCTCGATCGAGGAAGCTGTGTTTTCGTTTCGAAACAAGTCTCTACCCATCACTCGTCAGAGTCCCGTGTGCTTCGCGGTCCTTCGACTTCCATTTGCAATTCGCGAAAACGTGTGTCGATCGGTCACGCATAAACGCAGAAGGTCGTCTCGGAGACGGCCAAGCGAACGAACAACAAACAAGTGAGCGAGCAGATTTGCAGGATTGCACGGAAGGCAGTGACAGAGACGGGCAAAATTCCTATATAGATGAAAGTTTCGAATAACGAATAAAAGATGAACAACTTGGTACCCATTACTCGTCGAGTGAATATTAGCGTTTTTAATTATAGAAATAATTTATATATTTCATGATGCACGAATCAAAATTTGTCCGAGTAAATAAAATCATTCACGTGTTGTTTTTATACGTCATCTGTTATTCGAATAAGGTTTTGTCCATCTCTGGGCAGCGAATGAGCGTGTGAATGTACTCGAGAGAGAGAGAGAGAGAGAGAGAGAGAGAGAGAGAGAGAGAGAGAG